TACTGAATAAAACCATCCCTGCATCCATCCAGACACGATTCTTGAGGCGGAGCCTTGACAACTTGTATCATTGAGCCCATCATCTGTGTTCAGAGAGCTGACCAGACTGAATCGGTATGCTTCACCACGCAATTGAACTACAGCAAGAAGCCCAAACTTCACAAAGCAGGTTACAAATGACGCTTTGGGACACCGTTTCGGACCAATTTGGATGACGCGACAGACAGGCTGGTTCCATTCTCACCAAGTAACGCGGTCGATGGTGACGACCCCGCGGTTCCGGCCCCTATCATGACCAGCACGTGACCTTCCCGCGACCCGGGGGCGACATCCGATTGACCCGCACACTGACCCGCACAGACCTCCCGGGCAGGTCGGCCGCCACCACCGCAGTCGCCGGAAGAGAGCTCTTTCCGGTACATCCGGCAACGAGAACTCAGACAGTGTCGAAGGCACCGCTGGCAGCTCGGCAACGGTGGTCGGCATTTCAGTCAAAGGCTAGACGTTAAAAATAAAAAAGTTGTGGGAATGATGCTGATAAAAAATAAACTGAAGACGAGAAGGCGAAAGCTAAACTAGCACAAGTGCAAAATACATTCGTACGCATTTCAGATTAACAGCGTTAATAGCGAAGCTTGAAGCTACAATCGACTCAAGATTTATAAGACGGACGCCTGAAATCTGATTACGGGTCTTTACTGCAGACTGCTGTCATCAGCATTGGCTGTGCATAATGGTAAATCGATACGGACTAAGCGACAGCGCTGTTAGCTGCCGGTGGAAGTTCATTAATGGAGACCAGCTATATAGGGAGACGCGTTGACATTCTGGCGGTCAATACGCATACGAGGTAGACTGATGCTCTTCTCGTTACTTCAGGTGAATAAGTCAAGAGCATGGTTCATGTTCTCAAGCAAATATGCAGAGAAATATGTAGAATGATGAAGAGTGAGCCCAGCAGAATGCATTAGCGGTCGGATAGGTATCAAAATAAAAGGCGAGCCGTAGCTTTCAGAGCATCTTAAAGCTTTCGACAATGCCGGTCCCCAGGATATTTTCATTGAACACCTTAACTCAGCCAAATGTAAATACATCCTAAGGTCAATGGGTGTTGGGTGTTTTAGAGATCACTTTCCACGTGCATAGCTAACCGCTTCCCGCCCCCCATCAGTCAGTTCCCGGCACTGACGCCCACGACGGGGACCGGCGAGACTATCCACATTACCCACAGCCCACGCCGGGTCGGCGGTCCGCCCCTCCGGACCGAGTCAGAGGCGGACTCGTAAACATTGCATCAATCACGGCGGCCCCACGGGCCCAGCACGGCGCCACGCTGGCTCGCCGAGCGGCGCAGCAGCCGCTGGGCTCTGACTGCACCACAAGCATCCAAATGGCAACGACAAAGACAGCGACGACATCCCGCCGAGCTGCGAGTGTGGTGCCCTCGCCACATGCTTCTTTGATGTTCGAATGAACATTTCGAATCCTCATATTGCCAGGAAGCCAGAAATGGCAGTTCGGGTAGGTCATCCTCTCGAGAAACCACCGTCTAGACTGGCGATATCTCGGTTTTATATCAGCTAATTATGCATGACTGAGGTGGGCAGTTTCGCTCGATCGGTATCTATTAACCCGTGACCGAGCCGGGTGCGGTTAGAGTCGGGGTCACCGGTCGTCGGGGACGGGGAGACGGGGCGCTATCGCTCCAAACCGCACCACTTTCACCACCGCTTCTGTGGCGCCGGATCGAAATAACGCGACTGGACGGCACAGGTCAGGACCTTGGATGTCGGCCCCCTGAGAGGCACTGCTTGATCTGAACCTATCGTTGTCGCTTTGTCGGCCGCCCAAAGTGACTGAGACCCCCGGGGATCGACAGCTCACGGTAGGTAGTCAGTTCAGAAAGATATCTTCTGTCGATTATTCCACCCTGCTGCAGTTTACTCACGTCTCTGGTAGTCCCAGCGCAGACAAGGAAGTCGGTAAACCGAATACTTCCCCTCAGATGCAGGGACAACATCAAAGGAGCTGGATGGACACCCCCATGAATAACATTACGAACAAAGCACTTTATGGCAGACGTGCTGTGCAGCTAAACAGATGAGCACTTACGCAAAAATTTGTCCGCCTCAAAGGTTTCTAAGCAGTTACGTTTCCAAGTTAGGTTGGACAGATGCCGTTGCAAACTGATTGACGAAATACCATAGATCCAGCATGGCATACGTGATATCAGTGTGGCTTGTCGCACAAATAATGTACCGTTAACACCAACTGGGTTTCTGTACCGTTATGTTACACCCTTTCTGATGAATATTACATATGAAATATTGATAACTTCTGAAGAAAGTGTGTAAAATGTGAAACTGAATTCATTACTACCTCGGCACATTACCTAACCTCAGCCATTAAAGTAGCATCCGGTGCTTATTTCACTCAGCCATCCGGTTAAACGTGTCTGTCACCTCGCTTAATAGCCGTGTTTTGACCGGCCGAGCCTCGCAGCCTAAAAACGAGCCTGTCCAGGCGCGCCCCACACGTCCACCCCCACAGTCCACCAGCTCCGCCGGCGCTGCCGCTGAGCTGTGGTCGCTGCGCGCTGGGACAGGCCGGTGCTGAGGGAGGGAGGGGAGGGGGCAGCTCGAGGTCGGCCCACTCCGCTAGGTATACCGGCGCGTCAGGTAGGCTGATCGGACCCGGGGCCAGCGAGACCAGGCCCGGGACGAGCAGCGCCGCTGGCAAGGCCGCCCGGCCGGCCTACCTACCCGCCCGCCTGCCTCCCTACTTCCCTCCCTCCTTCCCTGTTTCCCGGCCCTCCCTTCTTCCCGACTCGGTCGAAAGTGGCAGGCTCGGCTCGCCGGTCCATACCGAGCTGTATAGGAGAATACGAGTAGAAGGCTGGCATGCACAGGCCGTGACAGGTGGGAGCCCAGAGGCCCCCGCGTCTGGTCTATCAGCGCCATGAGACCGCTGCCCAACTATCGGGCAGTGTCAGTCTGCTGAGCGGCTCTGTTGACTGCTGCTGGCTTGCCGCTCAAAACGTGTCAACTGGGCAAGGCTTCATTGGTGTCTTACATCGCTTTTAAGCGCCCTAGTAACTCACCAAAATCCAACGCTTTAGCTCGGTAATATCGATTTCAATTTTGTATAAAACTGTATTATCTTCCCTCCACATTATGATAGGTGGAACGGTAGACGAGGTCTCAGTCCCAGTCACGGTCCAATCCCAATCCAGTCCCGACTAGACACGTGACCCGTTCAGTCCGACCTCGAGCCGACCCCGTCACCGAGCTGCCGCCGTGACTGGTCTGAAACGAGCCATCGAACCCACCCGACCGGTCACCGTCGCCAATATGGGTCACAGGGGTCAGCCTGCAGTCTGCACCAGCGGATTAGCAATGTTTGTTCGTGATCATTAGCATATCCAAAACAGTTACACGGATATTGGCCATGATCAAATCGTGAGCAGCGTGCAGCTGAAAGGCGAGCTGCGGCGTTGGTTATCGTGATGCAATGCTCGTGTTGCATTGCTATGCTGATGGGCAATGGCAAAAAGGCGATCGTGTGCACACTTGAGTCGGTTGGTGGTCAACGTATGCCAGTCATTGTGGCAGAAAGACCAGCAGGTGGGGATTATGATTCCAATGGATCGAAATGTGCTGCCGAAACAGGGACAAGGTGAATTAGTGGCAATGTTGTGCTACACTCATTAGATGCTCGACATTCCTTGTAAACCGTGACAATCGCTGAAAAAACAGACTAAAATTGAGATTAGGCAAAATGTAAGAAATCAGAGTGCATATCGCTAGAGAACCAGTGTCCTCGTGCCACCTAATAAATTACTTCCACAAATTTACCTATACGAATCAACGCAACAGTAGAGCGAAACAAAGGAATCGACCATAACAAAGACGCAACCGTTTGTTCTCGCACTGCTACGAAAAAAAAAAAACGACGCCTTAACTGAAAAGACGCATTAGCACCAGCAATGTCGCACAACAGTGTATCACAGCTATACCAACCGCTCTGAATAGGCGCTACCTGCCGCCATTGACACGCCGGTTATAAACGACAGGGCACACGTCGTTAGTAGCCGCCGCTGCCTGGGGCACTGTCCACGGTCCAGAGACGCTGTTAGCCCCGTCACCGGGCGGCACGGCACCCGCCACGTGACCCGACGCGAGGGCCATCTGTCAGGTCGTGTTTCATATCATTCTGACGTGACATATGACACAAGACAGACGAGCCATCAGTCAGGGCCGACTGAGGTCGAGGAGAGGTCACGGAAAAGTTGTGGTGAGGTCAGAGGGAGGACAGGACGAGGTCAGAGCGAGGTCAAATTTTCTGGCTGAAGTGCGAGACAGTTCCCACCGGTCCCGGCCTACAAAATATTGGGGCTTCGACTAACGACAGCTTCGTTGTCTCGGTCTTCAATGGCGCTGTTCTATACGAACAAATTTGTCTCGGTCTTCGCTGACTAAAACGAAACGCAGCTAGTTGGTTTGCCCGCACACGCAGACAGTTTCGGACGCAGGAAGCAGCGTCTCCACAATGCGGAAACGGGTCGCCTAACGAACGAGTCCGCCGGCGTCTCGTTCCACCCAGCCGAGGTAGTCGGCGGAAGGAACCAATCCGACCCCGCCCGCTCCAAAAACGTCCGGGTCATTGTGGAGAACGGTCACGTACCGCGGAACTGGACAAAGACAGAGCCACTCATCGGAAGGACATTGGTAAAAACCGGTCACCCTTTCAGACAATTAGCTGCGAGCACGGCCTCGTCAGCGCTAAAAACGCCGCACAATCACGCAGCATTTCTCGGAGGCGGTGTCGCTAAAAACAAGGCACGATGAGCCGATATTTCGTGGGACCTTCCGCGACCCTGTCCCGTCCGTTGACCCTGGTATGTCTCGGTCCTCGTCTGCCCATTGTCTCTGGTAAGTCAGTCCCACGCTCGGTTCCGGAGACGCCCTACACACAGTAACGCGCACTAACAAGCCCCTTACCTCTGCTGGTCAGAAACTGGCTGCCGTGGAAGTTGATGCTGCTCGGGGCGGCGCCCTGAAGGTAAGCCACCGGCGGCGGTTCGCCGGCCCACGTCCTGCCCAGCAGGCCGCGCGCCACACCGTTCCTCACGATCGGGAACGTCAGACTCTGCTGCTGCGGGATCACCGGAAGAGACAGCTTCCGGTGGCGGCGCTCGCGCGGCGGCGCCGAGCCGCAGCTTGCGCTCAGGCTGACCCGGCCCGGCGGCCGGCCCGGGCTGCGGCCGGGGCTGCGCGCGCGCCGGTCAGGGCGCGGTGTGCGCTGACCGAGAGCTGAGAGGGTCAGCCCCTCAGGCACCCGCGGCGGCCGGCTCAGAGATAGAGGCGAGTTCACATACACACCGTGCTCCGGCAGCGTCAGAGACGAGGCCGGGCGGGACTGAGACAGCAGCTTGGCAGACATGCTGACCAATCGCGAGGTAGTTTCTCCTGAACCTTTGTCACTTCTCTGGCACTGATCTATCACCGAGGGCGCTTTCCAAAGTTCCCGTAGGTCAGCTGCAGCACTCTCTGCAAGAGAACGCCCCTCACACACCCCGCACTGGCTGACCCGGCGCAACGTCACAGGTCAGTGGCCGCGTCACAGTCCACCGAGCACCGTGCGCCGGTCCCGGGGCGGCTCGGATGGCAGCCGGCGCCGGTCGCGCGGTGCGCCGGCCAATTCTCACACCGGCCGCACGCGCTACGGCGCGGCCCCGATCGAGCTCCGCGGTCCGCGGCGAGCGCTAATGGCGTACAGCGCCGACCGATGCTTGGCGAGAGTCGCGAAACGAAAAGTTGATCACTCACTGATACTTCACTCGCGAACGACGTACTTCGGCTTTACAGCCACCAGACGAAAACTTTTAGCCACGCACCACTCTGGATCCAAAAATATCACGCTCTAAAAATATCGTCACCTTTATTTTCGTTCCTTTCTGATATGCACTCCACAAAACTGCCACCTCTCGCGGTCCCAGGTCTCTCTCAGCACTATCTCCAATCACCTCTGCGAGCTTCCAATCGCTCCTCGGAGAGTGTGAAGGGCGCGCGCGGTCTCGGGGCGGCCAGAGACGGACGGTCGCGTCGTCTGTGCGCCGGCTGCGCTCCCGTAAATCGTCTCCCGCGGCGGCTCCGCTGTCATTGAGCCGTTTGGGCCGCCCTTACGACACGCCGACCGCCAAAAAAGTGGCCGGGTCGCACCGGTGCACCGTGGTAAACGGTCGGCGCGGCGGCGGCCGGGCGGCGCACAGCTGAAAAACGGCGCGTCCCCGCCTCCGGCGTGGTGCTGTTCCTCAGGGTACGGCCCCCGGGGACGGCTAACGTCCGACCAGCAGCCGTGTGGTGGGTGAGAACGTCCTCACGCTCCTCACGATCTGAAGGCTGAGCCAGTAGCGCGTCCGATCACTAATTCCACCACGCTCGGCTCTACGCTCGGGCTCCACACACCTCCCCGTTCACCACAGCACCGCGTTCTCACTTTGCGCCGCTCCTGGCAGGTCCGGGCCGCGCTCCCGGTCCTCTCCTGCGGAGACCGGCGCCGCCTCCGCCGCGGCCGTGATTAGAGCACTAAACTGAGCTCAGCTGCGGCCGGCGGGCCCGCTACTCGCGCGGCGGCGGCCGCTCGCCGTGGTGCGCAGGCGCACTGGGACCGTCTCGCGCCGGTCGCGGTCACAGCTCCGCCGCAAAAAGAGCCGCCGGACGGATCCCAACACAATGGTCGCTACTTAGTGACTGGTGTTGTGAGACCGACAACCAATGAGTGATGGCGTCATCCGAGGCTGCAGCGTCTTGATTCGCCACAGGTTTGATACAAAAAGTGGGTCAGAGCCCGAAACGACGGGGGAAACCAAACCGAGAGCCTGTCGCGTTTGGCCCCGCCAGATAGTCATCTAGTGCGGCGTGGTATTCATCATGTTTTGTACGAATGACATTCGCAGTGTCAATGAAAAACATGGCTGTTGTCTCGCTGAACGATCCGCGCATTGTTTGAATCGCAACTTTAGTGTGCGGAAGTCATAAGGAAGTGCAGCTGATTGCTCATTGTTCAATTATTTCTTGTGAACGATGCAGACCTTGGCTGATTGACCCATTGACTGTGCACAGAAAAAAAGAGAGCAAAAACGAGTTCCTTTGTCAACGAGCTGCTGTCATCATCAACCATCAGAAGAGGACGCAATTCGGCTATGCAACTCGCCGCCCTTTCAGGAAGTGAATGGTTGAAAGAGCGACGAGCGTTTAAAACCAGCCAGTTACTACAAATTTGACTAATTTAATTGAGTTCAATCAATTTAATGGAATAACCTTCTGTTCAAAATTCTAAAAATTGCCAAAAGTTACCAAAAACACTTGAAAGTAACTTAAGTAACTTAAAGTAACTTTTGGCAATTTTTAGAATTTTGAACAGAAGGTTATTCCATTAAATATATTACATATAATGCTGTTCACCAGAGTGCTTCGTCATTTGATTGAGTTCAATCAAGTCAAACTTTAGATCCTGCTACCAAATCGATTCCATGTTTGACCTCTGTTTTTTCTTCAACTTTCTTTCTATAGTGATCAAGCATGATGATCACTATTGCGTCAGCAAAAATAATGACGTAATAATGAACATGCACGAGAAAATTCACCATTAATTATGATCACTCCATACGCAATAGTCAGCCTACCAGCATATCCAGAACCGCGAGAATCTGTCACGTGACTGAACGAGCTCGTTACGGACGCGTTACGCATCCGTTACGCAGCCGTTACACCTCCGGATTGATCCGGATCGAATACCGTTAGTGTCTGAGGCCGTAGCGAGCGGCGTACGGTGGCAGCGGCGTTCCCAGACATCCTTCTCAATTGTCAGCCGGAGCCGCAGCCGCCGACCGCCGCAAGCCGCCTGTTGTGTTACTGGATTTCGGTGCCTGAGACATCAGCATATCTGAGTTTTGTGCGTGAGTGGATATTCGGAAATGCGTACACTGCAGCTCCGATAAAATCCTTGTGTTATGTATGTAAGGTAATGCCTATGCAGCTCGTCATGAGTCAATTTTAATTTACTACGGAGTAAGATTGCTTATTTCACTATAGCATACGACGTGACCAGCCACCTTGAATATTATCGTTTTTATCGTTTGGCCACATCCACAGAGTCATATCAGGGTAATTAACCTTTCCTAAGACGATAATTTACTTTACCTTAAATGGCTACCAGCTTGACCCACAGGGATTTTAAATAGCTTGACCTTCCTGAAGCAGTGGTCAAATACACGGACGGCATACTAACCAAGTCTGCGGCGTCTGCGGCCCATGAATCGAGCTCCCGACATTGAGCGCGGCCTTTGGTGGAGCTGGGTGGTACTGCAGCCCTCAGCGGCCGGCGGCGGCGCAGTGCAGACCCGTGACGGAGAGGGACAGCGGCATAGATCAGCAGCCGACGAAATGAGCCTTCGGTACGGAGAGCTCCTAGGAGCATCCGTCAGCGGCAGTTATGAGCATATCCTTATTGCCTTGTTGCTTCGCCGAGCGAGGCATTCAGGCTGCATCTCACCCTTTCACAGCTTCGCTCGATAGTCATGAAAGACGAAAGTGTCTTGTTCGGCATTCAATAACGAAATGTTATTGGGGGTTTCTGGCAGTAGCATGCGTATCACAGCAGGCCCAAGGAAAGTCGTTTTATATTAGATTTTTTGGTCTTCCCGGACACATCATATGTACATACTATTCGTCATCACTCAGTCAGAAGTGCGCAACTGTCCGTGCGTGATCGACTCGTATATATTATCATTTAGTTCGCGGAAGGCACGCAGTTGCGCAGTCAAAAAGAAACAGATAGAAATAGAAAAGCCGAGAGGAATAAAAGCCAGGCCGTTGAGCCGCGTGAAAGGAAAGACAGCGAGCCTATTGCACGTGAACAGTGAATAACAATTGATAGCACGTGATGCCGGATGCGTATAGCTGCCGACGTGAATAAACTCTTCATATCCACATACCTGGAAAGGTGTTTCGTTCAGTGTCCTATGAATCAATGAATGCAGGTCCTGATCCGCTACAGAAATAATTAAACGAATTCCTGCCATTCCTCCCTGTGTGCCATAAAGGCAGCCGTAGCGCGGCAGTCGGCCGACGTAACTGTACGCAGCTGGCCGTAGCGCACTGGTCTGTGACCAAATGACGATGTAACTCCACTGCCACGAGGTAATTACCAGCTCGGGGACCGCTGGTGACGCCGGCCGTCCTGTCCCGTTCCGGACCGTACCCCGGTATTATCCTATCCTATCGGCGTGGAGTATCCCCAAGTCCGGCCCCAACTCAGTGCTTGTTTGAATAAGAAATTCGCTCCTTGATTTAAAAAAAATTAAAGCTGGCATGTTTAAAAGACATGAATATGTAGTGTCTTTAAGAGCGAAAAATACTAGTAAAAAAATCAGGATTTGGTGAGCCCACACGGCAAAGTAGGGTGACCAGAAAGACTATCTGATTACTTCCCGGATACTCTAACCGTGACGCCGCGTCCCATGGCCTACTCACTTCTAGGAAAAGGGTACGGGGTGATTTCCCCTCCTTTGTGCCAGAACTGGGTCGGAATGGACCTTTATCCCATTACCCGTTACCCATTTCAGGTTCTGTTCCTCACGCTCGAAATGCGGCTTTCAGGGTGACGAACACCGATGCTCCCCTCCTGTGAGGCTGTCATTGTGAATTATTCTCTCGCAGCCACCCATTCAGAGTTCACAGCATGGCCGACGCTGAGCTTCTAACTACGTCCTACTCCTGGCCATTCTAATCGTTATTTTTACCAGCATACCAGCACCCAGGTCTATAGACATTCGAGATCCACCTCATTTCCCGGATCGGCGATTGCCACTTTGGCAAACACCTAAGGGGCATGCAGTCACCGCAGCGTGTCTGCATCTTTGTCCGAAAGTTTTCTGCAGTTGGAAAGTCCCACCGGCTCCTCCCCTGCTCTTTGACCCGCGGCCCCAGCCCAGAGTTCTGCATCACGTGTGCAGACGGACGAACAGAGCAGGTAATTACTTCCTGGTGAGCTCTACAGCCCTGAGCTCTAAGCGCCTTGCATCGTCAATAAACACCCCACCAAAAACTGCCGTGTCGACAATAATGGTGCTGTCTCAACAACAAAACAGAGATCGATTGACATACCAATACTGTTAATAGCGGTTTTGTCATGGGACTGAGGTAATCAGCACGCGCAGAAGAGGAAGGCGGAGAAGGGGAGGGGAGGGGACTGTCAGCTAGTGACAAAGAAAGCCTGGAGGTGACGGGTACTGAAAACAGGTAAAGAGACCCTGCCGAGATATGTGTCTGTAGAGTCTCACGTGCAAATGCAAGGTGTAGTATGACATACTCACGGTAATACTGCAAAATGTGTTATTAATCAAATCAAGGCTTTATAACCTGGGAGCGACCAACCGACTCAGACCGATACGCAATATATGACGATCATAATACACATTTTACACCTTACAATTACATATTAGGCCCACAAAAGAGCATGGGAGTCTCAGTGTTGACTCAGATTGCTTAACCGACAATGTCAGATTCCTTCGTACACCGAAATTCACCACAGGTCACCTGAGGTCACTCCAGGTCACCAAAACTGGCAGTCTGTGAGCCGTGTCAGGCGGCGCGTGGCCACTTCCACGGGGGCGTGCCGGCGCGTCACTCCGAGGTAATGGAGCTCCCCTCGGGCCGATTCAAAACACTCAGAGATGGGCCCAGGTCGTTATGAAGGTGCCTGTTATCGTTCGATGGTCCATTTCCACTGGCTCTTCTTTGATTCACTCGCCCAAAACATCAGTAAGCCCCGCAAGCCCAGGGCGATATGATAACTCCTGAAGCGACGTTTGAAAAGGGAGTTTCTATCATCATAGAAAGTGCTCCTTTTGAATGCGAGTAAGGGTTTACCCGTTCAGTTCATGTCCCCAGAGACGGCCGGTGTGCGCGCTGCACCTTTTCATGACCGTTTAATGGCCTAATACCTGCCATTTATATCAATCAATGATCGATACCCAGCAATCGCCGAGCAGCGTATACGATGGCCCGTTCCTACGGGGGAGCACTGGGCTCAAGATTGGTAGTGGGCTGACGTCATTTAGACCTTTTTGACGCAAGCACACACTTGTGCTTCTTTCGACCTCCTTGTGACGTTTGTCTGAACAAGCGCTACACCAAGCTAACACATGAAAACACGGGCATAACGAGCGGGGAGACCTAACTAAGACAACACATGCTATAAACTTGTGGTCATGATGATCTGCGTATAAGGACATCCGTTTCGCAAAGACTTTCCGTCGCCGCTAGTGCCTTATTATAAAGCGAGTTAGCGTCGTTGTTTCATCGTAACAGCAGCACAGCGCCACCCACCCAAACCTCACTCACACGCGATTGTCCGAGCAGCAGGCTGATCAGCAGCTTCAAACAGGTGTTCTGCTGCGCTTCCGTAGCTAATCCCTCGCCTGAGGCGGCGCCCCGAGCTATGGCCAGATGGTGGTCCATCGGGACCTGCGGCGGCGGCGGCGGCGGCTGCGGAGGCGGCGGCGGTGGCGGAGCTTGGAAAGAA